ACGAACACCACACAACAAACGGTTATTTTTTCCTTTTTCCAGAGAAACAAAATACTCTATGGAGTGATAGATAGATTATATAGCGAAAAAGGTCTTTGATAATGATAAAGATATGAGAAAAAGGAAACTATGACGCAGAAATAGGAACCAGCTCCGTAAGTTTTAGGAAATGGAAAAGTAATTGTTGGCCAGGATTAACAAAAGGCATTTTGGCTTGATTGTTATATGATAGTCTATCACTCACGGAAAGACTCTACCAACAAAATCATATTTACAAACCTCGCCACCCCTCTGTCGACTGGTTTCTCCATAAAAGAAATAACAAAAGACTAAGAAAAAACACTAAGATAAAGCAAAGCTCCAGGGCCAGATAATATCACAGCAGAAAAACCAAAAAAAATAAATAGCATCTATAACAATATCGCTACCTATTTGCCCTCATTTAATAGAAAATAGGAGAGCGGAACTACTGCAGTGGGATGGATCAAAATCCTACCTAAGTAACTACCCAAAAAACTAAGACCACAGAAATTTAAGGCTTATTGAGCTATAGCCATCACATCCTATAGCATGGAAAAAAGCATATCACCCACACCAAAATACATAAGTATATACAGGCCAAGAAAAGAAAATACTGGATCCAAAAATTAATTTAGAAAAAATAATCATGCAGAAAAACTAAGTACAAAACCCCCTTCTGCTTTACATTTGTGAATTATAACAGAGCTATTGATAATGTTAACCATGCAGTTTTTTCAGAAAATAAGATAAATAAAAGCTGAAGTCAGTGAAGTAAGTAATTCACAGAAAAGGTGAAAGACAAAAATCAAGAGGTAAAATTGAGAGATGAATAAATTAAATAACCTGAAAAATACAGAAAAAAATTATGAGAGGTTTAGGTAGTTCGATTTAATTTTTAGTAGTTTTTTTATAGATTTTTTGTTTTTATTTAGCCTTAGGAATTGCTTCAAATTTAAGTTAAGATCCATTATGTCCTTCAAGGCTCTGTAGAACCATAATGTCTTATATTTGCAATATGTTTTCCCATTAAAGGGAGTATAACCAATTAATGGCATCAATAACAAGGCTATTGTTGCTATGATTTCTTAAAATATGGGCAAAGAAAGTAAGACGTTTCTTTTTTAAAGACACGTGAACCTGGGTATGGTTAGACTTCTTCCAAAGATTTTCATTTGAGATAATATTAGGGTAGAAGATTCCATTTATTATTCTAAGGCATTTATTTACAAACGTTTGTAATTTCCTAGTTTCGGTCTTGGTAATCTCCCATGTATCACCGCCATAAAAGAGAATCGGGATGATGGTTGAGTTGAAAATACAGAGTCTTGTGAAAACGGATATCTCTCTAGCTTTCCACAGTTTAAAAAATTTATAAAAAGCCGCCCTAGCATTTTGTAAACGAATTTTTAGTTCTTCTTTACAACTACCTTTATTGTCAATGGTTACACCTAGATATTTAAAAGATTCTACCACCTTAACCAACTTTCCCCCCACCACCAAATTATTCAAAAGAGGCGCCTGGGGCGAGGGCATTATCACTGTTTTATCAAAGTTAATATCCAAGCCAACCTTAAGACTAAAGGAGTTTAATATAGCGATCAAATTTTGGGTTTCTTCCAAACTTTTTGTTATCAAAACTATGTCATCAGCATAAGATATCACCCTATTTTCCAAGAAAAAAGACTGACTGGAACTTAATTCTAAGAGATTCGCAGTAGCCAGCGTATCTACTATGATTTTATTCATAAGTATATTAAACAAAAGCGGGGAAAGAACACATCCTTGTTTTACCCCTTTTTTCGTCCTAAAAGATGGAGAAACCTTATTATTGATTTTTAAGGAGGCAAAAAGACTACTATAATAACATAAATTTAAAATTCATGCAAAATGTATCTTTCCACAAGTAAACAATATTTAATAAAATATATGTATAATTTATTTAAATATATTTTTTTTTATCTTTTTACTAATAATTATATTCCAAAATTTTCTTAAACTTTAACAATGTTTATAAAACAGGGACGATAACCCGAACCCTGAACCCTACCGAACTCTCAATATTATGCTGAACCTAAACCCTTTTTTAAATTTAGGGTTCAGGCTTTTTTTTTTAATTTTAAAAATTTATATATTAATTTTAAAAAAACAATTTTTTGATCATTTTTTCGTTTAATTATTTTTGCAATATTTAGTAATTTTTTAAATTGTATTTTATAGTGGAACTAGTTACATCTTTGATAAAAAGTAACTGTAACTAGTTATATTTTAAAAATTGTAACTTAACTGTAACTAGTTATAACGGCCAAAAGTAACTAGTTACTTTAAAAAATATGTATGCATAAATCTAAATAATATATTCAAATAATTCATTTTATTTTTAATATGTTGCGATAAATTTAATTTATTTTTTTAAATTGTGTAAATGTGAATTAAAAGATTTTCATTTCCTTCGGAATAAATAAACCTATTTTTTAATATTTGAGGATTTCAAAAATACCATGCAACATCTACTAAAATAATTTCCAATCGGATTTGTGGATTATGATGATGAAAGCGATGTGGTACATAATAATATTAAATGTACAAGGATATGTCTTAAGTAAATTAATTTCATGATACAATTTTTTAATACTAGTATCTTTATATGGAACAAAAGTCTGTTGAAAAGAAGTGTTGAATGTAAATTAAGACGATTGGTCAAGAGATGATTCTGAATTCTGGACCAAACTTTTACCTGGAAGTGACCAATATTACCTAATAAATCTTATTAATTAAAATAGAACAGACTATGTAGCAATATCAAATCTAAATTAAGTTAATTGAAAATAAGTTAATTCCCCTTTTTTCTCCCAAAGCTTTATAATCAACTCAATTCCTTAAGTATAATTTATTTTCTTAATCACCTTATTAAATATATCTCACAGAAATTCTACTTGAAAGTGACCAATTTAACCTGATAGATTCTATTATTAAACAGAAATTATAACATCAACTATTTATAGGTTAAATTAATTCATTGTAAGAATAAACTATAAGTTTTTTTTCTCCACTATGTTTAGCAATAATCTCTCTAGGCATTTCAATTAAAATAGGTTGATAAAAACCTAAGTATATTTCAACTAAAAATTATATTAATTAAAAGGTAATCCAAAATATTTTTTAAAGTTTACTAAGGTCAATAAATATTGTAAATATTAATCATTTTATAATAAATGTATAAACATTTATTATTTTTTTACTATCACCCTAGTCTAAAATCTCTTAGCATAAAGCAACTTTTTCTAATTTATCCTTAGTTAAATTTAATATTAAATATATTTTTAGATTTTAAGTACATAGGAATCAGGATAATTATATCAATTTGGTTTAAAATTTGTAACCAGATCATACTTTTTGTGACTTAATTAATATAAATTTGTAATGTATATTCTCTTATCTCATTAAATTTGAAAAATATTGGTCTAAAAAACATTTTTCTCAGTGCCTATATAAAAAATTTGGATTAAACATTAATCTTAAATGTTCCAATCTTTTTTTACTATTGGTCTCTTTAGAACTCCCTGCTCTATTTATGCATTATATAAATTAGGGTTTAAGTTATTTTTTATTTTTACATTAAATTTAAATGTTTAATCACCTGTCTAACAGTTAGCAATTTTAAATGTTAATGTCAATATTATATTTTAAGAGTATACAAATCTTTCTATATTATCTTGTCTAAAATACTTACTTCTATATTAGCTATGTTTAGTAAAATTTTATCCTAAGATAAAATTATTTTTATTTCCCTAAATGTATGAGGAATAAAGTTACTTATAATGTAACTAGTTACTTTTGGAAAATAACTGTAACCAATAAATATTACTTTTGGAAAATAACTGTAACCAATAACTAGTTATATTTTTGCAAATAGTTATGTTTCAAAAGTAACTTTAACAACACTAGTATTTTAGTATTATAATTATGATTATAAATTATTTTTATGGTGAAACTAATTAAAATAAATTTTACAAAAAAAATGATGTTTCTATTATTCATTATTTTTCTGGAGTTCAAACCCTGAACCCCAGCCGGGTTCCGATTTTTCACTGAACTCAAACCCGAACCCATTTTATTAGAAGGAGAGTTCTCGTTCCTGTTATAAAATGATACTCAGCCATAAAATTTTTTGGCTAAACTTCGAGATTTTGTTAATAGATGTCTGAGCCTTTAGGCCATTTGTGATCAAAATATACAGGCTTGTATACTATTTTCCTGGATAAAATATTATGTTAACCGTTTTTAAAAATCGGCCCATATTCGAGCCGTTTGACAAAACTAGCCAAAAGTAATGCCTCACATTGAGCCAAGAAATATTAGCTATTATTTTCCCAAAAGCAAACATGATGCCTAATTCATTATTCACTGGAATATCTGAAAATTTGGCAAATAGTATAGAATTAGCTTGTATTAATGAAGATATTGTACTTCAGTGTAAGAAAGAGGGGTAAACGCCAGTGAAAAATTTAATTTTAGAAAAAAAAATCTTATCGTATTTTCAAATTAAAAAAAATGAGAAAGTTTGTTACACCAAAAATAAACAGATAATTTTTAACAATCCCCCTACATAGATCTGAAAGCGGCCCGATTACGATTTTAGCCAAAATATTAGGTCCAAACCTTTCTGCCAACTATGGGCTAAAATCCTATTCGGGCCATTATTATAAATGGACTCGAGTAGAGCCGTTTAACCAGACAACCCCTATACTAATGATTTCGATCTTATAAATAATGTTTGTTTTTTAAAAAAAAATTGCGAAATACGATTTATTAAATTTATTTTATTTTATAATATAAATATACATCGTTATTTCTACATTATAATTAGCATCAGGGTGTATATAAAAGATTCATATTAAATGAGAGGCTAAAGGAATACGAGTATATAAAATGCCAAAGTCAATATTCTTAGAAATAATAATAATATTAAGTTATTAATGCAATAATCTCTAGTCGAAAAGTCACATAAATTACAAGATTAAAATTGCATTTTTATATTAACATACATTTCATAATTAATAAATAATGAAAAAATATTATTTTTCTTTACAAAAAAAAATTAGTATCCATATTTTGGCTTTTTCCATATATCTGTATTAATCTGAATTTTAGTTATTTTTTGCCAATTTTTTTTCCTTCGCTAAATGCTACACGCCAAACAAAAAATGTTGCAAATCATGTTTTTTTATCAATCTCGCCGAATCTCAAATGACCAGTGGCCTGAGCGTGACTGCTAGCCTGAGTTTCCCCTACCAACAAAGCGTTGCAATCGTAACATTTAAGAGTGAAATTCGAAACGGAAGTAAACTGACGCGCGTTTTTGGCTTGATCCGCTATCTCGAGGGCTTGATCGAGCACGAATTCGTACTGAGGCGTAGTCGGGAATTTCGTTTTCACGATTGTTATAGGCTCTTTATCATGGATATTTAGTAAATTGTTTGGAGCCTGCTCGGGGAGGCGAAAGGTTTGGCATTCCATGACAAGCGGGTCGTAATGTATTCCGTCGTAAAGGAGGAGTATCCTTTCGGTGTAACCGGCTTCCTGGCCGAACCGTTCCAAGCGACAATTGCGAATATCGACGACGGTTATTTCGACCCGGAAATGGCGGGAGAGTAGGGCTATCTCGACGGCCCCGCCCCAGGACTGGTGTGAGAGTATCCATCTAATTATTAAAAAAACGGTGTTATTCTTTTAAATATTTAACTTATTCAAAGATATAAAAACTTAGAACTTTTATTATACTCAGATGGGGATTTGCATAATTATAAAGGGGGGGGGGCTTAACATAATATTTTGACACAAACAATAGTTTAAAACAGTTATTTTCAGCAAGACGCCAGGTATCGAGACTATGAGCTAAAAATCTCTTTTTTTTCTTTTCTTTCATTCATTCTTTGTTTGATTTTCTTCAAAGGAATGGAAAAGAAGGGGGTGAGGGGAAAAGAATTGTGATATCGGAGTCTAGCACTGGTATAAAAATCTTATATAATAATCAATAATCGAAGGATGATTTTAAGGTGGGAGAAAAATAAATGTTGTAATTAAATTAGAAGTTTATAAAGTAAAAAAAAAATAATTATAAAAATCTATTATTTTATTTATATATTTTTTTTAAAAATGATTAATTTCGGATTAGTGCGTAATCGATCTCGTGAACAAAGTGATAAGATTTTTAAAAAAAAATGTAATAAGCTATTTTAATATATAATATATACATTTTTTAAGGTAATTCCTAATACCTAGTCAATACACCTATAAATATTTGATTTGGCATATCAAAATATGTCTTTTTTTTTAAAAAAAAATAATAATTTCGCATAAATATGGATTATGTTTATAATATACAATATAATGATATTTAATTATTGTCTTCGTGAAATATTAGTTATTTGTCGTGCTTAGACACAATGAGCTCTGATTAAAAAAAAAATTGGTAGCGGGAGTGATGATACCAATTTCTTACCTCGTAAAATTATTTTTTATCTTTTTTTGAAAAAAATTTATGTGAACACAATGAGGATCTTGAATTTTAAGTAAGCCCAGCGACCTGAGAAAACAGGCTCACTAGGAGCTTGTAACCGACACATTTTTTCTGTATAGAACTAAAAATCTTTAGTTCTAATTTTCTTCTTCTTTTTTTACCCAAAAAGTCTAGAATATTATATAACGATGAAAATAGAGGATAAAATAATAAGACTAACATTCATGTTATAAATCTTTCGGAATATCTTTTTTCCCTTGTGTAATGAATGAATGTTCCGAATTTTTGTACATAATTTGCCGAGTAAACAACACCCTCATATTCTATTATTTCTTCGATATGTTCCTAAAGCAATCATTTGATCGTATAGTGAGTGCAGTGTTGTTAAATTAGCGGGCGAAAAGTAGATTTTATGTTAGCGCGCTCTTTTTATTGAAGAAAAAAAAAGCTCTAAAACTACTTCGCTACTTTTAAATTAAATATAATAATTATTTATACACTCTCATTATTTTGTAATTAAATTAAAATCTACAATTATATATAAATATTGAAATTTAAATATATATATTTTTTTGTTTTATAATAACCAGGGATGGATGAGACGAACAAGAGTATATTAATCCGGATTTTAGACTGAACTGGCCATACATTAATCTACTCAAGTCTAAAGATAGGGTAAGTAGATACATTAAAAGATTAAACGCTGATTCCCATGAAGTATAGATAATACAAATCGAATATTTGCATTAAATTCCCCTATAAACTTAATTTGAACGATTGAGGGTTCTGAAAGATCCAAAAAACTCTAAAATAAAAAACTATTTCAACTTGTATATTAATAAATAAATGTAACGAGTAACTCGTTTTTATTTGAGTAACGGTAGGGAAAAATATTTTCTTTATAAATAATTTAAGCCGCGTTTCAGATCAGCCTAACAATTATTCATGAAGAAGATGATTTAACACTGCCCTGGACCCGGTATGAACCATCTTTTACACCAATAAAGAAAATTAAGGGTACAAAGTCTACACTTCTTAAGTGTATATTGTACCCTGATTTAAACATTTCAACCTAGATGTCCAACAACTCAAATCTATAAAAGCATAAGAGACCTTCATGGGCCGAGCCAACAAGGGGGCCCGCCTAATATTATATTTTTAGTGAGCCTGGCCTGGGTTTTTGATAAAAGGGTTAGGACTAAATTTTATTTTATAAGGGAAAAAAATATTATAAACTTTTATTTTCAAATAATAATAAATTTTAGTATTGTCATCAAAATGACTAAATAATCTATTGTTTATTTTCAAATAAAATAAATCAAATTTTTAAATATGGACAAATATGGGCCGATTTGGGTCTAGGCCTAAAAATTATTACTGCAGGAGGACTTGATCCAAAAATTAAAGCCCATGAAGGTTTCTGAAAAACATATGATGAATTCAGATTGAATTCTGATAAAGATATAAAAAAAATTTTTGATGAGGATCTAGATGAAGATTTTTGAAGATGATCTAATAAGATTATTAAAAAATAAAGGTCATTTCTTAAATATTTTTTAATAAATCATCACAATTTAAATATTAAATATAATGCAACCTTCCAATCCACTGCGCCCGTTAAATATGTAATTAGAACAGCGAAAGCTGTGAAAGCGCTCATGTTTATCTTATCAAAATTTTAAAAATCAATTGTTGTTAATAATAAAAAATTATTACAAAAGGAACTCATATTATTTTTATAAATAATATTTAACACTTTTTTAAGTAAACGAGACGCGTTACTTTTTTGAATAGCCAGTAACGCGTTCCTTTTTTTAAAACGGAACGTGCAACGCGTTTCTCAATTCCATAAATTTTATATTTATAATGTAATATTATAAATATTGTAATTTATTCGACGATTAATTCATTTATAACAATAAACATTAATATAAATAATTATAATTTATAAATAGGATAATAAATAATACGAAAATAAAATATTAGATCATTTTTATAAGGCGCTTATAATTACAATAAAAGTCCGACAGCGTTGGTGTGGCGGCACAAAATTCTAATTATAGTTTCGCACAAGCATACGATTATCAATTCATCATTATTTAAAACGCCAGTCCATTATAAATACAAGTACAAAATGGAAATGAAAATAAAAATATATACGTTTCTCTCTTAAAAAAAGTTTTAAAAAAACCTAGCGTATTCACTATTAGGTTTCCCCAGTATCGCTGGCGTCAAAAGGTCCTTCAAATACAAAAAGTCTTCAAGATCATAGGGGGTGTTTTCGAATAGTAACGAGGAACCGCTCTTAGGTTTAAATATTTTGTCATCCGGATTTTCGAATAAAAGAACCGCGTTGCTGACGATAGTCCTGTACTTGGCCACCAGAGCGGGGGAAAGATCCATTTTACCATTGTTGAGCAAAAAGTTAATGCTGGTAAACAGGCAAGAATTGTCTGCCGGAACGACCCTTTTCATAAGTATACCTATATTTAATATAATCATAATTTATAGTCGAGTAATAAATAGTTCTATTTTTAGTCATTAATGTTATGTCCGGAAAAAAAATTAAATCGAGTATTTCACCAAAAATTAAAACCTGGCAATCAGCTGATACAAGTTACATAATTTTAACTATTATCCAAAGCTAGTAAGTGTTAGATGAAGGTTAAAAAAAAATAGTTGTAACCTTGTTGTTGTACTTCGGCAGTATTAGCGTTTTGAAGATTGCTCTTCATGACATCTTTAATGTCAGCATTTGGTTCAGAGAGCTTCGATTGATTATTGGTCAGCTGCTGTTGCACGAGCAAAAGATCTCCAGAAGATAAAATTAATTCAGATAGGCGTTGAGAATCGTCGATGTAATCCAATAGTTTAGGTGGGTAACCTTTATTAAAATTTCAGAAATTATTGATTTTTAAAAAACAGCATCCCCTCCCCCATAGATTCATTATAAGTAGAGTTTAAAACAAGAAATAACCTTGTGCTGTTTTGGGGAGGGAGATGCTGGGGTAAATGGCGCCCCTAAAAATATGAAAGTAACCCTGCATTATTAACTAGTGCGAATAGTTTTGATGTTGAAAAATAATATAAATATGGCTTCTTTTTTTGAATAGAAGATATCTACCTCTACCTTATCAGTGATTAAATAATTTGTTATATAAAAAATTCCTTTTTTATGGAATGTAGGCTCCATAAATATTTTCTTAAAAAACAATCTTTTATTTCAAACCATAAAATTTATAAATAAATTAAATTTACAACCAATACTTGATAATATTTTGTGTTAAGTAAAAAAAATAAGTCATCAACAATGACATGACTAGCCTTTCCACGAAGAAGGATGGGGCTTGCATAAAAAATTGAAAAATTTCAGGGCACCCTGGCAACCCAGCTGGTCCCAAAACAAATTTTAGACATGAAGTATACCAATTGGGGCATATGTAAGATTAAAATTATTATGGTATTTATTATTTATAAATCAAAGTAACTATTATTTTTGTAAAATTTAAATAATCCCAATAGCTACCTACATAAACAAAAAATTATTAATTTTATGTGAATAATCCATAAATTTATATTAATTTGAAAAGTTTAAATATAATGAAATATTTGTTACCTTTCATGATATTGAAACTATCTACAGGGTACCCTGTTAAATCTGATATATTTTTCTTTAAATCTAAAACATTTTGTGATGCTAAAAGTAATGGTAATGGATGAACACCAGTGTTTGTTCGAATTCTTAATGTCAATGAGCTAGCAGTATTTGTCATGTTAAATACTCTATAAAATTTAATGGAAATATATAATTAAACTTCCGATACATAAATAGTAAGCCAAAAGTTTGTAAGATATGTTTTTAAAAATTAACATAAAAAAAATATTTAAAATAGGTTGTAATTATTTAAGTAGCATATTTAAAGATTTAATAATAACTTATATGTTATTATTATGTTTATTAAATTTTGACCCCCCTCGCTCCCCTTACTCCGGTTTAGATATGCAACTTTATGCCATGGAAAATATTTATAATATTACTTTAAAAATGCATTGATTGAACCTATAGTTAATATCACATCAGCTGTTGTTCTTGGAAAGGATTTCGGGCTAACCGAATAATTAGTAGAATAGAATGTCAATTTAAATTATATGATAGTTCATTAGAAATTTATTAAAACTCTTATTAACTTATATTTTTCTTTTAATTTAAACGTGTATCTTTGATTATGTGATATAAATGGTAAGAATTAGATTATTGCAAGGAATTGGTAAGGTTCAAAATATTTTTGTAGCATTGATTTTAATTTGGTAGAAGCAAGCAATAATAAAATATTTAATTAAAAATTAAATTAGGTGTGCCTTTATTTAATGCATTACGATCGATATATTTTGCTCATTTAAAAATTTGAAGAATAATATTAAGTTTGTTTATGTTCAACCCGAATCCAGATCAGTGTTGTTAAACGCCTCGATTTGTGCTGATTTTTAATAACGGCTAACAACATTATTTCCAGGAAAAAATTGCCAAAGCGTCGAGATTTCGCCAATGGATGTTCAATCCTATGTACCATCTGTCAGCAAAGTCTTTTAGCTTGCATAATATTTTTCTGAATAAAATATTGAGTTAGCCGTTTTTAAAATCGACTCAAATTGAGTCTTTTAATAACTTACCAGACATAATTACCAAGAATGCAAAAACTGAAATTTTATATGGCTAAAATAAAAACATGGATAAATAATAGCACCTGAATAAATCATTGGGGAAAAAAAATCATCTGCTGGATATGCCTAATTTAATTTTAATACTTGAATATGGGCATGTTTAAGTTCGCTTAAACGACTAATCATTAATGAAATTAATAAAGGCTAATATTTTTGATGTTTATTATATTATTTTATTTACTTTATTTTGTTTTTACAACGTTTATTTTAATAATAATATATTTACAAAATTTTAATATGTTATTTTACCAAAATTAAGCATGAACATTTATGTATACACTATTGAATTAGAAATATATTAAAAACAAATAAGGACAGTACATATACTAGAAAAGAATGAATGCTTAAAAAATTGGACCGGCGGAACTCTGCTAACGAAGGTAAAATCTTTCATTGGGGTCCCCTAAGATCTGTCTCATTTTTTTCCTATAATTTTAATAAAATCGAAGGCCTCACTTTCAAAAATCCCTTGGGTATTGGTAATGATTGATATGGACACAGTGTTGGAGAAACCAGCGTTTTTGTTTTTTTAAGGATTTGCCATTTCAATGTCAGAAAATGTTAGGTTAGACTAAGCTGCAAAATTGACATAGGTATAGTACCAAGAAAGCGGGAGTCTATTACTTCAGGAAATTAAGTATATACAATCGGGGCCTATCTTCGTTTTCACAACTTTAAATTAAAAAAATTGACCATATTTATTACAAACTATCGTTAAAGCAAAAATATTTATTTAAATTAATAATATGTATAATAATTTTAATAAAAGTTTTAAAAAGTATTTTTGAATAAAAATTATTATGACTTTTCAGCATTTAGCGATTATGTGTAGGTTATTAATTAAGAAAAAAATATGTGAGGAAGCATTCGATGAAATGCATGAAATTAGTGGTAATTACATAGCTTAATAATTATTTTAAAGTATTTGAAGTTAAAAATATTAATTTATTGAACTTATTGAATGATAAGTTTAATAAATTATTATATAAATTTTAAAAATATTTTTTTAATAAATTAAACAGTTTTTAATCCATCCATAACATACGTTCATCATATTTAAAATTTGTAAATATTTTAAAAAAAATTATATTGTTTTATGAATAATAATAATAATTATACTAATGCTTGTCCTTCACAAAATTCTTCTTCGTGCAATAAATTACCGATAGCAGGTTTATATTCAAATTTTTAGATATTTTTTAAAAAATGATAATGGAAAGTAATTTATTTTATAAAATTATGCTAATTATTCAATGTAAAATTTTTAAGGACATTATGATCAAATCGTTAAGACTCCAACGGTCATAGTATTGGTTGGATTGCCTGCTAGAGGGAAAACATATGTATCGCGTAAATTAACTCGCTATTTGAATTGGATTGGGATAAAAACAGAAGGTAAATTTTTTATTATTTTATTCATGCATTAAAATATACTCACTTTATAACCATAAAAGTATTCTCTCTAATCTACCCATTCCATAGACTAATATAAGTCTATGAGCTAGCCACTAGTTAAATTTATATATTATAAAATCCAGGCGTGTATGCAGGAATTTGGTCTGGGGAGGGATAATAAAATTTTTTAAGAAATATTGTTTTTTAAAAATATCAAGCATAAATTTATTAGGACTAATAACTATTTCTAATACACAATTTTAAATTAATGTAAAGAATCACTTAAATGACTCAAAATAAAAATTTGAATTTTTTGAGCCTTTACACAAAAAGTTTCTTAGGAATAATTGCATTTTGTATGTTATATATTTACAATGTAAAATCCAATCTTCGTTGTGATTGAGCTAATTTTTTAATTATCTCAACCTTGCTTGTCGTCAAATGCCTATGAATATTCAAAAGATTCAAACCTTTCAATCTACTTTCAGATGTTGTACTTCTTGGTATGTTTTTCAGAGACCTGCAGGCCCGGCCCGTGGGCCAAACAGTATTTTAATTTTTTAAATATACCCGGGCTGGGCCCAAATTTTTTTTAAAAAACCCAAGCCGGGCCTGAATTATTTTAAAAAAACACCCAATCCGGGCTGTATTTTTTAAAACAGCCTATATTTGAAATCGTTATTATTAGCTATAAAAATCAAAAATAAATAATTTATTTTTTAAAAATCCGGACCGGGGCTGAAAATTTTATTTTAAAAAAAGCCGGGCTGGGCCTGAGAATTTTTTAAAAAAAGCCGAGTCGGGCCGAAAATTTTTTAAAAAAAAAGCCGAGCCGGGCCTGAATTTTTTTAAAAAAAACAGGTTGGGCTATAAAAATTCTTTAAAAAAAATCGGGCTGTGCCCTGCAAATGGTACTTCTGCAGGCCTCTGTTATTTTTCTTAAAAAAGAGAATATTGGGAATTTAATCTATAATGTGTTGAAATAATGCAGAGCATCCATAGCATTTTTTAGGACTATATCAACCATAGTTAATCTTATAAACATAGTTATTCAGCTAATAAGGCATCAAACAAATATTATTTTTTTCTATCACCATCTTAAAAAGGTTGGGAAGGCTTTTGTGGAAGTAATATTTGCAGATTAGTAAATGCTGCATGAAGAATTAAAAATTCATTTATTTGGGTTATAAATGTATCTGTATTTAAGATATACTCTTCTACTGATCTTATATTAATGTTTTAACGATGAGCTTGCCTTGCTACAAGTCGAGGGAGACAAATATTAAACACTTATAGCTCTGCTTTTGACTCAACAAAAAAATATGAAATTCTTCATCAACATTAGCCCTAATTTCCTTGAGTTCTGATAAAATGCTTTCCGCTATTCTCATCTTCTTAATCAAGTCAATGTCATGTTTTTGAAAAGTAATACTTAAAATAGTTGTATAATTAAATAATATATTCTAATGAGAAATAAAATTTGGAATAAGCATTGAATCCAATAATTTTCTTGCTTCTGAGGAAATATTTCTTTTAGACCATTGTGATATTTCAGTAATAGCAAATAATTGGCTCTTCTAACTCCTTAAAAGTTGTTACTGCTTGATGGCAGAGACTCTATCTCGTTGGACAAGGTTGCAATTTCTTTTTCCCTGTTGGACCAGAAGTTTCAGAAATAATTATTATTTGACTAGAAATTTGAAAATGGTAAAATATTACATAACTAAAAATTTGAAAATAATAAGTAAATATTACGCCGGAAAACTTGAAATCGAAATTAATTGATAAAATAACTTAGTAGATAAATGTGATAATAAATATAATTAAATATATATTTAATATGAGATACGAATAAATATTAACAAATATAAATTAATATAAACATTAATATTTTTGAAAAATATATCCGGCATCTGCATTTTTTTGCGGGGAAGTCTTCCTGCCCCACCCCCGCTGCGTACGCCAATGATAAAGTCTTATTTAAAAGAATGGTCTATGAATAAATTGGCTTTATCTTTTGGTTGTTAATTACAATTATATTATTTTTTCCTTTCACAGTCAGAGCTGCAGACACATAAAGACATTCTCTGCAAACCATACAGAGGAGATGCAGGGCATATAAGCTAAATTTTTTATATCTTTACAGATATATGGGCCTAAGAAGTCTTTTTTGAATATATCAGAATCATATTGAACCTTTTTTTGAGAAAAAATAGATTGAACTTTTTAAAATAATAAAATATATTATTTCTTTGGCATGTCTTTACCTTTGTTTAGCAAAAATTATTTAAATAAAGATATTTTGAATTTGATTTTATAATAGTTTAAAATAAAATGTTCAAGGTCATTATTACAGGTTGATTTTAATTAATTATATATTTTTAGAATTAGAGAGATTAATGATTTACTTGTTTCTAAAAAAAGGAATATTTGCTCTCTTCTAACAAGAACCTGACTAGAACATTTTAGAATCAAAATGCCTTATTTCTTGACAAGCAATTTTTTTAAAAAAAAATGAATTAATTAATTTTTAGAATCTGAGCTTGTAAATCTAGTTTGAATCCTATCTAATCAAACTCGATCAGATTCTAATCTAGATTTGAAAATTTATTTTCAGCTAGAATTGCACCTTTATAAAATTTTAAATTATTTTGCTATCTTTATATAGATGATATTTTTAAGAATAATACACAAAATTGGGTTAATATTGCAGTCTTTTAAAAAAACAAATTTGGATTGGATAGTACCGAACCTATTTTCTAAATTAAAATTTCAGATTAGGCTTGAATCTTTGATACACAAAATAAAAACATCTTGAATCAGATGGTTCAGACAAATTTTTTTTTTATCACAGATTGGTTGCGACTTAAAAAAATAGGTCATCGGGGTTCTATTAAAATGTATTTTCAATACGAATCAGACACAGTTATAATGTTAAAATGCCTTCTCAATGAATTATTACATTTAATCTTATTGCTGCGATAATTATAATGCCAAATTTTAGCATTAATATTTTTTTTTCCCAGCAATGAGCAATAAAAAAAAATTTTTATGTTTGTTAAATTTTTAAAAAAAATGCGTTTGAATTCGCGTTTTTTTATCATTAAAATATTATGAATTTATAATTTTAAAAAAAAAGTATATTATATAAAAAAAAATAAGTTTAATCTTATATATCGTTCATCAATGACGGCTTAGAAAAAAAAATTTTTAGATTAAAATATGGATATTATATAAAGTTCTTGTTTTGTTTAATTTAGCATATAACATCATTTATATACCAAAAAAAACACATGTGAAAGAAGGAATTGGGAACGAGGTTACGATTTACAACCGGCTGAAAATTAACATAGATTTCAAAATTTTTATTCCACGCTCTTATAACGTAGTGCGTTATATACATTTTTATCAGTCTAATCTGGACCCGGAACCTTTATAACCAGGTCATAATTTACGAACCGGAAATGAATTCTTATTTTTGTACAAGAACCGGAACTCCTTTTTTTAAAAAAAAATATTCGCAACAATGGCCTTGTCGATCAAACGATGCGCAAATTTGCATAATAGGTCATCTTTTAAACAGCTATGCTATCGTTTGAGAGACATCGCAACACGAGACCTTAGATAATATATTTTTAAAAAAACTAATTTGAGGTTTCATTCGCTAAATTTATGGAAAGCGGGAACAACGGTGATTTTAGAATGATTCTAATTAATATGATATGAAGCGTAATTTTAATTATTTCATTAAAAAAATGATAATAACTCAATTCGAGATTTTGAGGGAATTACAAGGGTTTCTTTAAAACACTTCCTTACCCTGAATTCACAATTAGATCGAATTCTCATGCGGAGAATACAGCATATTTTTTGTATTTAGCCGCGAATTCGCGCTACGCTAACCATGAATTCAGGGCTATACCTCTTCTTCATTTTCCCCCCAAAATACGAATATTTTTAATTTTTTTTTAGAAAAAAAGGTACAATAAATATGCCTATTTCTACGGCTATTTTTTTTTATATCTAAAATATTTGCATTTTTAATTTTTTTTAAATTTTAAATATAGTATTTACTTATCAATTTTTATTGATTTTTTTTTTAAATAGTAGACTCTGCAATCTCAGATATGTTAGGCTAGTGTCTCCGAAAAATCGAGTCGAATAATGAAATATTCGCGTTTGATTACGAATAACGGATAATTCGGTTATTTTTTTAAATAATTGTGATTAAAATTAAACTGTATTTTTAAAACCAATTTTTTTTTAAAAAAAAAGAACCATTTTTTCCTGCATAAAATTTTCCCTAATTATTTCTTCTTTTGGAGACACGTGATCAATTTTTTGTATTCGTATTTGTGCCTATGGAAGTTAGGTTTACTTGTTAGATCCAGAAGAACCCCTATTATTTGATTTCTTCTTGATTGCATAATCTTACAATTTATAAAATTCTTTTTTCAAAATAATTTTAAGCCTAATTTTATATAAAAAATAAAATAAAACCATTATTTATCCTTTTTTTAAAAAAAAGGTCAATATAATGTAAAATTAACATATAATTGTAACTAGGGCGGAGCCCTACACTCTAATAAATCCTCCATGTTATTATCCTTGCCATAATTATAAATTGAAGTATAGCTCGCAGTCGCAACGTTTAGAAACCTGGACTAAGAAAAAGATGGCCCTGATGACTCCCTAAAATGATGGAGAGACCTAGGTCATGTTTCCGGTTTTAAATCCTGTCAATTTAGCAGCCATAAACTTTAAGCGCAAAATAAAATATCTAAGAAATCCTACGACATTTAGAACACTAATTAATACACATAAATTGGAAATTTCAAAAATGGATTCTTGTTCCTGTTCGCCACGCTTCCGGTTTCCAAATTCTGATTTACTGCCATTAAAAAAATATATATACAAGAATTTTTAATCGAATTTTTTTTTAAACAAACAAAACGATATCTTTAGCGGAATAAATTATAATTAACGATTTTAATCGTAAAAATTTAAACTAACAATTTGTTTTGTTTGAAGAATCTTACATAAATATTTAATTTGTTTTTTTTAGTGTATGTATATATATATACACTATTTGTAATATAATTTAATACAGTTTAATTTATTAATACATTTAATACACGTTCCATATCTAATTAAATATTCAACAAATATTTTTTTTTATAAAAAAAAAAAGTAAACTTTGATGAGTAAGGTTAAATTTAAAAATGGACGTTATTTTTGTTATGTCATTATAACTTTCTGGATCTGACGGGAGGGTTACCCTATTTCCGGAACCCTAACCCTGATTCGCGGTTAGCCCAAAATTATGATTTGGTCATTTCTAGAAACAATTTTTTGCCTTAAAAAAGGCAATCAAAATCCCGAATGTATTTCATTTAAAAAAAAAAAATACTGTCGATTTATAACATGTGGGGATATCTCAGTTTTCGTAGGCCGGCCACATGTCTCCGAAATATCTCGCAAACGCCATTTTAAAGATTGATTGGTTTTTCTCTTTATGAAAGCTGATAAGGTCTTAGGTCGTGTTCTAGTTCGGCATATTTCTGAACAGCCTTTTGTTTTAACCGCCTACATAGTCCGTCATTCTTAAAATAGTCTTTAAAATAAAGGAAGAAAGCGGTTATAGAGATTTACTTAACGGACCACGCGCCTATTTGATCTTACTAACTTAAAACAAATCAAAAAAAAATAGGGTATTAAAAAAAATCTCTTACGCCTGCCTGGGTCTAAAAACGGAGAAAAATTTTTAAAAAAAATAAGACGAACCAGAGCACGCCTTATGAGGTTGATAAAGTCTTAATTATTATCCAGATATAACATATAATATTTATTATATCGCGAAATATATGATTATAAAGTAAATTTACTTTAAAAAAATACAATTTTGTAAGGCTTCATCCTTCAACCCCGACTATTGGGTTTATCAAAATCTCATAAATAATTTTAAAAAATATAAGAAAGAAGGTGAGTTAATTTAAAAAAAAAAAAAGAATGAATTTTAAATTCAAAATTAAATATTATTATAACCTAGGGACAAAAGATATAAATTATACAATATATAAAGATAAGTTAAAATATATTGCCAAAACAATTCGAAGTTATACCACACCTTTTTTCGGTATTTATAGCAGGAACTTGTAAAGGGTCGAAACTTCAGGTTCGGCCTGGTTAAATTTAATTTTACATATTTTATATTTTTGATAATTTTTGGCCTTGCCTAGAATTGGGTTAAATAGTTTTGTTAAAAGCCTCGATTTGAGCCTATTTTTTAAAAAAGGCGAACTCGATAAAAAATACGTCCTAAACCTTGAAATTTCTTTAATAGAAATTCAAACCTTTGTAACCATCTATGAGCAAGATCTTCGGGCTTGCGTAATATTTTTGCTGGATAAAATATTGAGTTAGCCGTTTTTTAAAAAAATCGGCTTAAATCGAAGCCGTTTAACAACACTAGCGGTAAATAAATATTAATCATTTATTATGAGATTCTTCAATTGATTGATATCGGCGCCGCCCGAATTTTTAATTATTTTAAAACATGGTCATTTTGGGAACCGAGCTTACGGGCATCTGATTTATATAATGGAAGGAAGGAAAGAAAGGAAGAAAGAGAGAAAGGTGTTTCCACTTATATCGTTATTATTAGTGTTGTTAAACGGCTCTGAGCCGATTTTTAAAAACGGCTTACTCGATAAGCCAGAAAAATATTGCCAAAGCCTCGAGATTTATTCCTAGACTTTTCTTCCTTCTACAGCAAAATCTTCAGGTTCGCGTAATATTTTTCTGGATGAAATATTGAGTAAGCCGTTTTTAAAAATCGGCTCAAAACGAGCCGTTTAACAACACTAGTTATTATATCATCGAAAAGATTTGATTCTAATCGATATTAATCGGGTTAAATTTTATTAACGGTCGGATTTAAATACAATTTGAATTTTTTTTATTTTGGCGCGAAATTTTATTATCAATTATTTGATGCATCACGTTTGAAGTTTTCAATCTGGGAGACTACAGGAGAGGGATGGTAAGCTCCTACATTGGCAGCGAATTTTTCGACGAAAAAAACGTAGACGCTACGAATATTAGAAAGTGATTATTGATTGATTTATTTTATTTTTAAAAAGCTACTGTTATTTATAGTTAAATTTCAGATAGTATCTCGTTACATTTTGAGTTACTTTTATAAATAAGTATTTTTATTAAAACCATTATTTTAAATACAATTTTTGTCATTATTATATATTAATTTTGTTTATCAAATTTTAATACTAAGGGATTTCAAATGAAAATATAAATTGATTTAAATAAATAATAGCTGAAAAAAAATATAAAATTTAATTATTTATAAAAATTTGGGTCTAGCGGTATGCTTGTTTTTCTCTAAAAATAAACTTCCTTAGACTAAAAAAAGAAGCTATCTAGCCTTATTAGATTTGGTAAATCATTCAAATAAAGATAATAAATGAATTATATATATATTATTTATTTAACATATTTTAATAAGCAACTTAAAAATTGAATTAGTTACAATTCAAGTTATATTTCAATAAATGTAACTAGTTACCGTTACCCAGTTACATTCTTATAGACGAAAAATAATACTAGATCTAATATATCTTAACACAATTTTTCTTTAAAGTATAAAAAAAAAATTTTTGTATAAATTTTAAAAAAAAATTAATTTATCATTTTTCTTCTTTTTTTTGATAGTTAAATGTATACGATATCATGATGTCAGATTTTTATTTTTGTTTTATTGAGATCATTTTTAAATTATTTTAGTTAATATATTATATAAAGAAAGAAATGGGCATCTTTCTAAGCCTCGAGATTTCGATAATATATTACTAGACCTTTGTTCCTTCGGTGAACAAAATCTTCAGATTTGCGTAATATTTTTATGGATGAAATATTGAGTTAGCCGTTTTTAAAAATCGGCTCAAAACGAGCCATTTAATAACACTAATCTACTAAAATAAGATTTTAAATATAGCCTAAACTAAAATATTTCACCAAAAATTAACGTTTTTCTAATTCCTTATCTATAAATAACACTCTTATTTATTATTTATTTTTCTCTATATTATTTCATTTTTTTAAAAAATAAACTTATTTACTGGAAGCCGTCTCTTTTTGGCACTATATATATTCCTTTTCTGAACCATGGTAATATGAAATCAAAATACAGAAAATTTGTGACTTAGTGAAATGGAAATATATTTATAAAGATAAAAGAACAAATGAAGATTGATTAGCATGCGGAGAATTCTAGCAAAGGTTACAAATCACATTGAATCTCGTGTCCGAAATTTCGGACTCGGGGGAAAATTATAATTTGTTATAATTTTATATTAACTAGTTTAGTAGTAGCGAGATGAATCTCTAATAATACGATTGGAAGGAATCTAACTGGATTTAAAGGAGAATTTGAGTTAACTACTTTGAATTTAAATGACGGCCATTTAACTTTATTTGGATATTCATTCAAAGCCATGCAACACTTACAAAATTTCTTTTATCTAGTAAAAAAAATGGAGGAAAATAGCAAATATTTATAGCAATAATGTGTGACAAACCAAAACGAAATCGGAGTCGATACGATGGGCCAAATGATAGGCTGTTATGCGTGGCAAGAGAATAACCCCAACATGAAAACGTGCTGTTTTTTATAATATGATAGATATAAGTGCACTGAGTTCTTACATAATATGGATTTCCTTATTCCCAAATCATTATAAAAAGCTTGCGTAAATTTTTTTGGTACTTTTTAACAGATTCGGGCAAAGAATTGGCAGGGTTAAATGAATCGGGTTATACTAGACCAATAAATATCAACAACGAATCATAAAATATATTCAAATGAAAGAGCTCTACGTTATAAGCCCGTGTAAATAGGATAGAAAAAATAAAATACTATATAAAAATTGTAATCAATCTATTTGTTGTGAACATTTTTTTTTAAAAAATATTATATCCCATTTGTAAGGATTAATCACGTCCTACAAGATTATGGACATAATATGTGATGTTTTAATGCTCGCTAATGTGGAAATATATTGATTGAGAAACAAAAAATTCGTGTAAATTCTTCATATTATAAATTACAGGGCCAATTCGACAATGCTTGACCAGGTAAATTTTTCTGCTCAACAAAAGAGGGGGATAATATATATGATAAACGACCATTATTTTTACCTAATAAAAAAAATTATATAAAATCGATAATTTATCAATAATAAATGTTTGCACAAACGACAATAAAAAAAATATATTTTTGGGAAAAAAAAACAAGTTTATGCGCCAAAAACGCTCTGGAAGATCTCATAGTCACGTTGCAATCGGGGAAAGCGGAAATCGCCGTGAGTTGAATATTAAAATAAATTTAACAATCATTCGATTTAGCCAATTTTAAATTAAAATTTTTCGCCGAAAAAATATTTAGCATCCAGAGTTGGGCAGGTCCTTTTGAATAGGAATCTAGATACAGATATAGATTCTTTATATAAAAAAAATGGATCTTAGATACAGATACTAGTATCTTATTACAAATGTCAAAAAAGATAAGATACAAAAGGATCGTGTATCTTAGATATAAGTATTCGCGGTAGTGCCCAACTTTGGGTATGCCTCGAGATCTCGATTATACCTTTCTGCCATCTATGAGTAAAATCTCCAGGCACGCCTAATATTTTTGGGATAAAATATTGTGTAGGCCAATTATTTTAATCCAACCGTTTAACAACACTATTTGGGAAGGATAGTTTTCATATTTTTTTTTCCACCTTCTTTAAAATTTTTTAATTAGTTGAGTTAACTCTACATATCTTCCAATAAATTATATTATCATTTTTATATGGGACCTGGAAAAAAATTCCTTCTAAGCTCTTAATCCAATATTTGTAAGGTTTTTTTTTGTTGTAGTGAAATAATAAGTCTTATAAATAATTTTTTTTGTAGGTATTCGACGCCACCAACACGACCCGCGAACGCCGCAAGATGGTGTACGAAATATGCCACGATCAACACGGGTACAAAGTGTTTTTCATCGAATCCGTTTGCGAGGATGCCTCTATCATTGCTCAAAATATTTACGTTAGTGTCTTTTTTTTAAATTAAAATTAATTTCGTTTTCCTTGAAATGAAATGAATATTCCCTCAAAATTTTTCAGCCCTTTCCCCCACCTCTGTTTCCGGTTCCACTTTCACTCGTTGCTATCATTTATAATTTAAGAAATTAGGGATTTTGGGGATAGAAAAGAAGAAAGCTTCTATCCTCTTAGAAATAATCGCATTTTATCCAGGAAAATATAATATTTGGATTGTTATTGTTTTGATTTTACTCTTTCTTTATTTTGTAATATCATACATCTTAGTCCAAATTAGAAAAAAAAATATACTAAAAAAAGAATAATTAATTATCACGTTGTCAGGCATTCATTGTTTAAATGGTATGTCTTGTTTGGGTTTATTCTAAAGAAATAAACTTGAAATTAAATATCATTAATTTAATATAATACTTGTAACATTTTGAAAAATTATAATAAGAATTGGAAGATTAAAATCGTTGTCAAATAAAGAAAGGTTAAAATAAAATGATACTAAATCAGACTAATATCCTCGATTATATATATACTTTTCTATATTTCATTTACATAATGTTTTACAAACAAACTGAAAAAATCTTGAACTTTCTTTAATTTGAATAATCATTCTTTTTTATTCCTCTTTCTTTAAATCATTTGCATTCGAAATTTAATTTCTTGAGTAGATTTGAATATCCTTCGGCTTTGTAATTTGGTTTAACAATTACAACACCCTTCCACTTAGATTAGTCCCACCATTCTGCGAGTAAGGCATGGTTCCCGATACATTCTTCTAGCTCCTTTAATTATATCTCGTTTTACTCCCACATTATCCTAGTCTTTGCTTGTTTCTAACGGTTTCTAGTAACTAATGACGGTAAACCACTGACGATAATTTGTCTGCTAGTAACGATGGTTTCCACGACTTCTTGTTCGATTTTTTATCCTATACTAAATTTTTGATAAGCAATTGGCTATAATTTGTCAACGATTAACGATAGCATCCTGGTCTTCTTGTCAATATATCCACTTTGCCTTAAGATCTCTTATACGATAATGATTTCTTGTATCTTTTGATCCAAAATAAAAATCCGATCTCTAATTGAGCTCGATTGCGGCATAAATTTTCTAATGACGAAAAGCCGTTTCTCTTTATGAAGATTTTTAGGTTAATCAACAACCTGATATTTTGCTAAATATTATCAACTTAAATAACAGTCAACCATATATCTTTAATAAAAATTTATAACGAATTTCTTTTAGCTACATCGATCACTTGTACGTATAACGATCTCTTGTGACGCATTCTTTTTAGCTAAACGACTAATTCTCCGAAATACGACCATTAATATTGATACCATTGTTTTATTGCTCTCATTCTTTGTCTTAGTGTCGATAGTCATCTCATACATCCCCTTCCCCCTTTATTTAGAATCTCTTTTCAGAGTTAATTAGACTGACTTTTGATCTTCTAAAGCCTGGATCAATCGCTGTAAGGCACCTCTGTACCAATATGGTATTGATATTTATATTGCTGAGGCTAGTGGGAGAGTTAATTAGACTGAATTGTTGAAATTGCCCTGTCTCCACTCTCTAACATCATTGTTTTGTATGATTCTTCTTAAATCTTATTCATGATTCAAAATAAAAATCCGATCTCAAATTGAGCTCGATTGCGGCATAAATTTTCTAATGACGAAAAGCCGATTCTCTCTATGAAGATTTTTTGGTTAATCTACAACCTAATATACTAATTCACATTAATCCTTGAGGCTTTTTTATCTCTCGCAGCCCTTAAAATAAAAGTTAAACGTAAATTTTCAATAAGAATTTAATCAACTATTTCCTAACAATAAAGTTATATTCTAATCTTATTCACCGAATTTTTTAATTATTATATCTCAGCAACCTATTAGTTAAATATTAACTTTCGCAATTTATGTTTCTATTTCTTTGTCAAAGTTATTTCTAGTGATCACTTGATAATAATTCTAAAATCTAAAATATCATAGTCTTTATTAGTTTCAAAATTCCATTGGTTTTTAGTTTACCAGTAACTTCTAAATATAAAATTCCTAATTATCACCTTTAAATAACTAAACACAATTATCTCTATTACTATGAATGTTACCTTTGTCTTTAATTTTAGATTTTATATTCCTACATAAACATTAATCTTAACAACATAATTTTTCCTTTTCATCTTTATTTACATATTTTTCTTACGTTCTTCTGGAATTTTTTTTTGTATTAGAATACAGTTTGACACATCTCCTTGTTGTCCCACCGGTCACAGACTGAAGGTTGTAAAGGGCCGGTCTCCTCCGCTCTCCAACACCATTGTCACAACGACAAGTTTTTCATTGTGCATCAAAACTCTTTTCAATTTTCTTATAACTAATCATAACTATTCAAATATAATCTTTTTATCACGCGTTATAACAATAAATCCACAAAAATTCTTTATGCAAATTACATATAAAGTACAACAAAATCCAAAAGAAATCTTTATGCAAATTAAATCTAACATTTACAACAATACTTAAAATATGATTGTATCTGAAAATATATCGATTATTCTATGCCCGATACAGCTCAAAAAATATAGCTGGATAATTATGATAGACCTAGATATTTTAAAAAAGTATCTAGATAGCATTTATCTATCCTTTTAAATGTATCTAAATTGGATTATGAATGAGTTAAACGGAATATATGTTAGGTGATTAGTTCTTTGGTGTTCATTAATTCTTGAGTATTACATTTTATTCTTTCCTTTGTTTGCATAGGTGTTAAAGTTTAATCGCTAAAATATGATATATTTGTATATAAGTTTTTTTAAAAAAAATTATATTAATCTCAAGGATGTTAAAGTAGGCAGTCCCGACTACAAACTAATGTCTCCCGAAGACGCTGTCAAAGACTTTTTGCAAAGGATAGAACATTACAGGTATTTTGAAATTTCCATATATCATGAAAACGTTTTATATAATTTTAATTTTTAAAACAAACATTATACGAAATATTATAGGGCTCATTACGAACCTCTCGACGAGGTCCACGACAAATCTTTTTCTTTCATCAAAATCTACAACGTCGGCGAAAAATTCTTGGTCAACAACGTCAAAGGTTTTCTTTCATACTTTGGCTCATATTGTTTATGTGTGTGTGGTTACCTTAAGTTAGAGCTGTTTGGTCTGCTTTCATAGTTTATTAACTAACCACCATCTTGGATCTTATGCTAGCCAAGAATCCTTTTTCAACCTATCTAGGACGAACAGAAATAATTTGAGAAATTTTTGTTGTAGATTTTAACCATTATTTAAATATATACATTTATTTTTTTAAATTTATTCGCAGACCACATTCAAAGCCGCATTGTGTATTACCTTATGAATGCCCAAGTACGATACCGAACAATTTACCTAACGAGACATGGTGAAAGCTTGGATAATGTGATAGGGAAAATTGGCGGTGATTCAGACCTGTCCCCTAGAGGGGTTAAAGTTAGGGTTTATTTTTCATTACCTAAATATGGGCGTACTCTAATACATATATGTGCAAATCGAATTGCTTTATTTTAACATTTGCACAATTGATAATATTTATATTAGATTGTTTTTATAAATTAAAACGCAATCGGTAAAATATTCTTTAAAAAATTGACTTTTGTTATTTATTTAACATAATCTGGCTGACATAAAAATTGTTTTAACCAAATGTCTTTAATTTATTGTAATCAAGTTCCCTAACTATGGGGGAGGGGTCACTTTGTGGCACTCCATTTTAGTTACCCATATAAACAATTTACATTAAATTTTATGAAAACCTATGGCCAAAAATACTTTTTTGCACTTTTTTTCAAAACCATTTTACGATTACATATTACTTTCCCATCCCATTCCTCCAAACTTTCCAAAATCAAAAAGTTTGCCCAAGAATTAGCTTCCTACTTTGACATTGAACTCCGTAACGCAAGCGACTTCAAAGTCTGGACCAGTCAATTTAAAAGGACCAAACAAACTGCTCAACCACTCTTACATTGCAAAAACATCAAAACCCTCGCCCTCGAGCAATGGAAGGCCCTCAACGAAATCGACGCTGTACTTTTATAAAATACTATATTATATTTATATTTATTTGAGAATTCCACATTAAACAACCTAAGATAAATTTGTTTCAACCACAACCCTAAGCTCTAGCTCTGTGCAAGCCGGCCATATGCCAGGCTCTGTTCATACTTTAAAAAAAAAATCTGGCCGGGTTTAAGAATGTTTTTACTTCTTTAAAACAATTAGAATTTCACTGGGTTGGATAAATTAATTAGTGATATTAATCTATATAACTTTATATAAAATACGTTTACCTTTGAGTGGTAAGGTTAGAAAAAAAATAAGGCCAGGGGTTGGGTGCCTCATAGCTTGCCCTCATATAAATATCATTCAAATTTCTAATTAAGTGGTAATATTTTCTTTTATTTATTTAAATTAATTATGACAAATAATTTATTATTTTTGTGAAGAACGTCAAATTTAACAAAATTTCCTTTAATTTTTTTTTACTATAATATAAGATAGGCAATAATTTTTAATTTACTAATGAGAGCTGTACCAAGTAGCGTCGTTAGGAAGGGGTGCATAAGGACTTGAGCGCTCTGGTACTTTGAAGTACCTTCAAAATTATTGAATTTTTAAGATATTTTTTTGATTTAGGTAGAATAAATTTTATGTGTGCTCAAATGTTTGTATAATATATTCCTTGTGAATTGTAATAATTTTAAAAAAATTTAACGGATTTTTTTTGGTTATTTTAATGGGTTTTTTTACCCCTAGAATTATCTCCTTTTTATAAATTTTTGGAATTGTTAAAAAATGAGCCACCAGTTGAAAAAGCTAGCGCCATTGACTATACTCTATATAATAATCCACAATCTTTCATCTTGCGCGAAATTGTGATCAGATAGATCGATCAGATTTTCGGACTAAGTCCCATACGCAAATAAAAACCTTTAAAAATGTTTTTTTTAATTTTAAAATATTGTGTCACTTAGAAATTAAGAAACTGTTCTCTACAGTGCTGTAAAAGTTACGTAAAAATATCATGATAACCCTTCAATTATTTTAAAAAAAAATTCATAGACTTAATACCGCAAATACCATATCTATGAGAGAGGGGGGAGGTGACATTTATCCCTCTATAAATGTAGGGTTTCCAAACGGATTCATTCTTACAATTCAAGATATATTTAATAACTCGTGATTCTTTAAATTAAAACCCATTTTTTCCTAATTAACAGGGCGTGTGCGAAGAAATGACCTACTCAGAAATCCACACCAAATTCCCAAGCGAATTCGCCTATCGCGACTTGAACAAATACGCGTACCGCTACCCCATGGGGGAGTCATACGAAGATCTCGTGGGTAGACTAGAACCCGTGATTATGGAACTGGAAAAACAGAGTATCGTGTTGGTCATAGCCCATCAGGCTGTACTTCGTTGCTTGCTGGCTTACTTTTGCGACAGGAATCGAGGTTTGGAATTTTAAATTTTGACATGAGCTTTAAAGGTAGATTAAGGTAGTAGTTTTTAACTAGATTTAAAAATCTTCAATGTAATATAGTTCTTTGGGTGAATTATAGTACCTCCCAATAAAAACATTTTTGAAATTAAAAAACATTCTAGAATATTTTGGGGGAATTGATAACCATATATGCTAGAACTTTGTGATAATTATTAATTTCCGATCATAAAGATTGTTAAATAATTATGTCGCCATTTAAGATTTGTTACCTTAGTCTTTAACTTTTGCTATATCTGTCCAAGTTTGTGATATTTGGAAGAGAATATAAAGAGAACTGGGGTCATAAAATACTAGGCACAATAATGCGATATTATTTGCCAGGGTATAATTTTTTTGATTTAAATCAATTTTTTTTTTAAAAGGTTCATTTTTATATATACCAAAGCGGTAAACGTCATTTTTACACCTTCTTAATTATATAATATCAAAAGGAATACCTTATAATTTTTATTTTAAATACATGAAAAAGTAAGTCTTATAAAATATAAGAAAATTAAATTTACAATATGAAAAGGATAAATCTTATAAAAGATGAAAATAATTTTTATTGCGACGTTACAATCGTAGTTACGGATAATGCCCAAAACATGTTGAGGATGGGGAATACGATTAGTGAAAATTGTTATTTTTTGGAGATAAATTAACTTATAGATGCGATGCGCTTTTCATATTTTCATACATATAGCCTATACTAACTATTTAGTTAGAGGTAAAAAAATGTAAAGGAACAAATGTTAAATATTTTGGGCAGAGAGAACACACTGACAGATAGTGTAATAATAAAATATGCCTAAAAGTAATAAATAACTGCCCCAAAAAGGATATTAAGATCAACATAATTCTTGAATATATTGAGAAAAAAAAAATTCATCGAACTTATCAGATTGTGTCGAAAAATGACCGTAACACTTGTTAAATAATTAAATGACAAAACAAATAAAGGTCTAGTAAATTGATGTTCCTTTCATAATAAATTATGTTTAAAATCTTAGTGGAGATCCTATTTTACTAGTGATAATACGGAAATAATCCTAAGCTGCCACACCTAAGAGGTTCTTCAAATTTTGGCCTAGTTCAATTCAAATTTTGAATAAAGTTTTAAACTAGAAAAGGCTGGAATATCAGTAATTTTATTAATATATTAATGATATAATCTTATATATTTAATTTGGGTAACTAGCGGTATCTCGGGGAAATTTTTCATCTTTTTTTATAAATTTATTTTTTATTTATTTTTAATTTATTTTTATTTATTGTTGTTATTTTTAATTATAGCTTTTTTAAAAGACTATAATTAAAATATTATAATGGAATATCGGTAACCGGTATCTCGGGGAAATTTTCGATATTATTATTTTTTTTATTGTTTTTTTTTAAATATTTTTTTTATTAATTTTTTTTATTTTTATTTATTTTTTTTATTAATAAATAAAAAAATAGATAAAACTAGATATTCATAATATACTAGAGAATTAAGATTTTTTCTTGAAATTTTCAATTATTTAAGATTCTATTTAAGATTTATTCTTAAAATTTTCAATTATTTAAGATTCATTTAAAATTTTTCAAATACTAGATATTTAAGATTTTTTTCTTAAAATTTAAATTTTCTGAAACTATATAATCATAATATACTAGAGAATTAAGATTTTTTCTTGAAATTTTCAATTATTTAAGATTCATTCTAAAAATTTTCAATTTAATTTAAAATTTTGAATCAAATACTAAATAAAGATAAAAATATAATCATAATATACTAAAGAATTAAGATTTTTTCTTGAAATTTTCAATCAAATTCTAGATAAATAACCAATTTATTTGAATAAACACTGATAATATAGTTATATGTATAATTTTTTTTCTTAAAATTTTCAATCAAATTCTAGATAATTAACCAATTTATTTCAATAAACAATGATATTATAGATATATATAATTTAAGGAAAAACAAAAATAGTTTTAACATATTTATATCATTTAAAAATTTAATTAATTTATTTAAATTGGACATATTTTTAATTTTGCGAAAATAACTGTATTGACATATATACAAATGAGTTGAAGATTTTTTTCCATTTCTGGGTATGCTTGCCTTAAGATCGCTTCAGAAACGCTCAATGCGTTGAGTATGGGTTGATATATCATTAGGGTCTACAAAATTTTGACTGTGATTCACTGAGTAATGGTCATAGCCATTTTCATTTAGATTGTTATAACTTAACAAATATTAAATTTTAAGATTTATCAATATTTAAATTACCCCTTCCATTTGTCCGTCATTATAGTTGAATCAGTATGGACATGTTTGCTAATTATACCTAGAAGGGTATCTTTATCTCTTTTTTCTGTATGAGAAATAAAAAAATTCCCATCATTTCTTGAAATTCCTCCTACAACCCAAATGGCATTAGATTTTAGAATCCTCCCTGTGTTATTTTTCCTTTTAAAAATATGGGATTCATCTATTTCAATCACATGCCCAGGGCCCCCTATTTTGTCAAAATTAATTGCCTGTGTATGGCAGCAAATCTTTCTAAATATAGCATACCTAAAAAATACTTATTGACAAATTTTACAAATAAATATATACCTTTTTCCAATGGTACATTGTGCTAACTCTATTAAAGGAAGGCTGTCAGATATTGACGTCAAGGACACAAAAAAATATATTAGATGTATAAATTTGTTAACAGGGATATTAACATTTTCAAATATAGAGCCTAATTAATAAAATAAATTTATAAAATAATATATTGTTAAACCCTTCCATATAGAATTGCTGCTTGTAAGAACCATAGCTTTTTTAAAAGACCACGAACTTCTAGATAATCACACGTGTTGTAATAATAATATGATAATGTAGAGAAATGCAGCATCTTATAGAGTAAGATGCAAAATATGTACAAGCAGCAATTCTATATGGAAGGGTTTAACAATATATTATTTTTTAAATTTATTTTATTAATTAGGCTCTATATTTGAAAATGTTAATATCCCTGTTAACAAATTTATACATCTAATATATCTTTTTGTGTCCTTGACGTCAATATCCGACAGCCTTCCTTTAATAGAGTTAGCACAATGTACCATTGGAAAATGGTATATATTTATTTGTAAAATTTGTCAATAAGTATTTTTTAGGTATGCTATATTTAGAAAGATTTGCTGCCATACACAGGCAATTAATTTTGACAAAATAGGGGGCCCTGGGCATGTGATTGAAATAGATGAATCCCATATTTTTAAAAGGAAAAATAAAACAGGGAGGATTCTAAAATCTAATGCCATTTGGGTTGTAGGAGAAATTTCAAGAAATGATGGGAATTTTTTTATTTCTCATACAGAAAAAAGAGATAAAGATACCCTTCTGGGTATAATCAGCAAACATGTCCATACTGATTCAACTATAATGATGGACAAATAGAAGGGGTAATTTAAATATTGATAAATCTTAAAATTTAATATTTGTTAAGTTATAACAATCTAAATGAAAATGGCTATGACCATTACTCAGTGAATCACAGTCAAAATTTTGTAGACCCTAATGATATATCAACCCATACTCAACGCATTGAGCGTTTATGGAGGGATCTTAAGGCAAGCATACCCAGAAATGGAAAAAAATCTTCAACTCATTTGTATATATGTCAATACAGTTATTTTCGCAAAATTAAAAATATGTCCAATTTAAATAAATTAATTAAATTTTTAAATGATATAAATATGTATAAAACTATTTTTGTTTTTCCTTAAAATTATATATATCTATATTATCATTGTTTATTGAAATAAATTGGTTAATTATCTAGAATTTGATTGAAAATTTTAAGAAAAAAAATTATATATATAACTATATTATCAGTGTTTATTCAAATAAATTGGTTATTTATCTAGAATTTGATTGAAAATTTCAAGAAAAAATCTTAATTCTCTAGTATATTATGATTATATTTTTATCTTAAATATTTAGTATTTGATTCAAAATTTTAAATTAAATTGAAAATTTTTAGAATGAATCTTAAATAATTGAAAATTTCAAGAAAAAATCTTAATTCTCTAGTATATTATGAATATCTAGTTTTATCTATTTTTTTATAAAAAAAATAATAATATCGAAAATTTCCCCGAGATACCGTTAGTTACCCACTTATTAAATTGCTAAAATAAATTGATATTCATAAGATATTGGTTCTAAAATGTGAAATCATTAGTAAACTAATTTTTGATTATTATAAAAAATTTTTGATTTATCAATGATTTTAAATCGTCTTATTTCCTGTGATAAACACTAGAAACTTTGTTTTGATAGGAATATCTTATTGATTTTTAATTTTTCTTAAGCTTCAAACAAACGTAACACGTTTTTTTAGATGAATTACCTTATATAAAGGTTCCGTTACACGTTGTGATAAAATTAACCCCAATAGCATACGGTTGCACTAAAGAAGATATTATTATATCCGTCCCAGCCGTTGACACACACCGAGACAGGCCAAAGGTTTAAATTATAACCGATTTTATGTTATGATTATTATAATTTCTATTTATGAAATAATTTTTATTTAATCACAATATTTCCTTGTATTATAGAAAATTAGTATACCACCAGAGAATGTTACAAATAACAATGGTATCTGCATAACGAAAACTTAACATTTCTTATTTTACTATGGTAATTTTATTTTTAATTTCTCTAGTATTTTTAATATACACAAAATATATTTGATTTAGTTCTAGTCACAAATCAAGATTATTGCTCTCAAAAAAATATTACGTCCAAATCTCCAATCATATCCATCAATATTAAATAATTATTATGTTGCAAAATATCGTTTTATACTTCTTAACCTGTGTTATACATAAAATCATATATTTTTTTTACGAAAATTATTTCTTCGATTTTATTTTTACATAAATGATTTTTACATGATTATAAATAAAATGCTTTTTTATTAAATAACACCGAATACTCTTGAGAAATAGGGGAAAAAATATCGCCATATAATATTATCTTAAAGGCTCCTTTAACAAAATAAACATTTTTTTTTTAAATTTATGTTCCATGAGAAATTTAGGAATTATTAGTTAGATATTTTATATAATATTAAAGAGTCTAAACCATTCTTTTTGAGTTTCGAGCTTTTGGTGATATATAAACTTGTATAAATACTATATATAAATCGTAGTCAGTATATAGTATATTTCTGATTTACAGAATGTAAGTAATTATGATATCAAAACTACTGGAATCTACATTTAACATATTCCCAAGGGCTATTTTTAATTTGAAAATGATTTGAAGGGAAATGAGGATGTCACACTCAAGGGCCTTTAGCAAAATAAAATCTTTAATCTAAACTGTCTCCGTTATCCCATCGCGACCTGTAATTATAAAAAAAAGCTTATGGGAAAGAATCTCACATTCAAAATATTTTATTTACTCTTTTAATATGTATTAAATTTAAATATTTAGCAATAATTTTGATAATTTAATTATATATATATATAAATATGAATGATATGAAAATGATTAGTAAATATTATCATTTATTTCCGGTTAATTAACATTTAAAATTAATTGCCCTCAGCTGAGAAATTCTGAATCACCTTGAATTTCATATCCCATTTCTAAAATGTATACTGTTAAAGTGCATATTTAAATTATAAATAAGTATAATAACCCATTTAAAATTAATATTAAAATTTAACATTACCCTAAAATCTTATTTAGTAAATACAATTTTATAATTATAATTTTAGAAGAAATAATTTTGGTTTGGGCTGAGTCAGGTCTATTTATTTTTAAAAATTTCAGGCCAAGCCAGGCTTAAATTTTTAGATATATCACATTTTGTCAAATAATATATTTTAAAATTCTTGCAATAAACAAGGCACTAATTTTATTTTCAATCAAAAAAATATTAAATTTTTCTATATTTAAATAAATTAGGGCAAGGCAGACAAATAATTTTTATTTCTGATCGAGTTTTAGGACAAATTAAAAAATATTTCATTCAGGGTCAGGCTGGGCAGGATAATTTTTTTAAAATTTTGTGCCAGGTAAGGCTTGAAAAATAAGGTCCTGTGCAGATCACTTATAGTGTTGTTAAATAGTCGAGTTTTTACGACTCTGAACTCAAGTCGAAGTAGCAAAACTCATTTCAAATTAAACTTGACTAGATTTTAGGCTAAGTCGACTCAACTTAGCCGTTTAACAACACTAATCACTTAGTTATAGTGATCTGGCTCTTAATTAGCCAGAAGAAGTCTAATAGTCTTACAATTTGTCATTTAAACTCGATTTGCAATTAATATATATTTTTATGATTCTATGAGTCAAGTCATTTGGCTCAACCCTATGTGTGTAAGTGGAAACGTAAAACTTGAGATGAATAATATTTCAATGGGATATAGATAAATTTTATAAATAAAAATTCCATATAAATTGTAATGAAAAAATATTTTTTTATAAAATAAATGAGCAACAAACTTGTATTTTACTTTCAAATTAAAACTATAAGCTTATAGCATCAGGCAGTCAAAAATTAGAATCTTTTTTAAAAATTTTAAGAAATTATTAAAACCTGAAACAGTATTTTTTTGAATATATTTTTTAATAGTATAAACCTGATGGCACAAAAAAACGTTACTAAAGAGCTGGACAAATATTAAAAAGTCAATTTTTAGTTACATAAATATGCTGGAAAAAAGTGTAAATACAATCCTTTTTTAAAAAAATTAATTTGTTTTAAAGAAATTTATATTTTATGGTCAAAAAAAATATTATTATTTTTATTTTAAACTTTAGGATTTGAGTCTAAATTAAATTTTAGTATAGTGTAGGTTGCAAAAGCAACCCTATTCAAAAATCTATTTTTTTTGTTGTTGGTTAAAAGATGCATGTAATTTATCTTGATTATATATAGACATTTTCTTTTAGTTGTAACTTATAGATGATAAATATTAAATTTAATCTAAAAGAAATATATGTATAATTTAGCATTTCTTAAATATTCATTAATTAATCTTGATTTCAAATATCAAAATATTTAATTATTACTATTAAATTTATATATATATATCCGTTAGAGGGCACAATATGTATGAAGTGTATTTTATTTGTTTTATATAAAAAATATTTTACCAGCATTTTTGAAACACTTGAATAAAAAAAATTTATTTTTTCCTCGATTTTAAATATTCATTTGGATATTATATAAAGTAATTAAAAATAACATACAAACAGTAAAAAATAACATTAAATCAAATGACCACAGTCCAAATCGTCTTTACTATTCAATTAATATAATTTTTTTTGTATATTTTTAATCAAATGACCACAGTCCAAATTGGCTTTACTATTCAATTAATATAATTTTTTTTGTATATTTTAATTTATGTTATTTTTCAAGAGTTATTTTTAGTTTTAATGAATTTGTTCCAATAAACCAGGGATCCAAACTGAACCTGAACCATTAAAAATTCTTTTCAGCATACTAGTTGAGTGTTTTACTAAAGGAGGAGATTTTTCTGATAAAGTTTATCATTAACATTTTATACTATATGTATTGTATTTTTAATATAAGTTTCACAAAATTTTAACTTCTGCTGAAAAAATTATTATTTCCTTAACAGATATAGCAAACAAACGAGATTAATGTCAGAAATGGCATAACATCCAATCATAAATTTGCTGCATTATTTTCTATAAAATTTTTCAAAAAAACAGGGTGAGATATTAGCCAAAATAATATTATGTAAGTCTTGAGATTTAGATGGCAGAAAGGTTTGGACCTCTATTTGCCAAATCTCTAGGTTTACAAAATATTATTTTGACTAAAATTTTAATTGGGCCATTTTATAATACTCGTATTTAAAATATTTTTCCAATGATAAATTAAAACATAATAAATTTTAAGCCATTAATAATTCACTTAATTAACATATAATTAAGGCAATTTTTATATATTTTTTTACAATATAAAAAAATTGTCACTGAAAAAAAGTAACCAACAAATCCTTCTAAAATGAAAAATATCCTTTACTAATATAAAAACTCAAGCCCCTGTTCACATAATCATAAGTAAAATAATAAAATACAAAAAAACAACACTTTATCTTAAAATATCCTAAGTGATAAATGCAAATTGAATTCAGCATACAATACTATGAACCCTTCCATTTAATGTTCAAGGCAAAGGATGATTGAATGAATAAGATATGCTAAGCAAACGTGTTAGAAAATGACAAGATTCTAGGTTAGACTAATAGCAATACCCAGTCCAGTAGCATGGAAAATAAAGGGGATTAGAGAAAACCTAGCTGGAAAAGAGGAACTAGAAGAATTTTTTTAATATATATTTGCTAATGATTAATAAAATATGTAAAAAACGTATCAGTGACATTTGGGAAAATGTATCTATATCAATAAACTTAAAATTTGCTATAAAACTTAATATATTTATAATTTTTTTATATAAATTACTTAAGATATCAGAAAAATTGTCTCAAATTTATAGAATAGGTATTCAAAACATGCTGAATATATATTTTTGATAAAAACATATTTCTAAAAAATTATTTAAAACACATATATGAATATGGGGGAAAATCAATGTTATCTGAAAATTTAAAGATAAAAAGCCTGTAATTAAATTTTGCAGTTAGGTAATATTCATTACTTAAGGATTGGGTAATCATTAAAAAACCAGTCACATCAAGGGCAAAATTTTATTTTAAGGTAAACTATAGAATTTTTGATATACATTTTAATAAAATTGTAACTATAGTCATTTCATAGTGATCATTGTAGTATTTAAAATAAGTGAAAATCTTAATGAGCTTTTACAATAAAATAACTTAATAGCTTTTCTTTTATAAGGGTTTTCCAATATTAGTTATGTTTAAATTATAGAAATAACAAAATCTTATATATAATTAAATAGCAGCTGTAATAACTTATCCAACTTATATTCCCATTTAAATAGATATTTAAGATATAATAAATAGATAGAAATGATTATTAATAATACTTGATTTTCAATATTTTATTCAATATTAATATAGGATTTCATATAAATACATATTTTTATAAATAGCTCTAGGATCGTGGCCTTTCTTTTTTGCCTTTATACAAAGCTAATAATGACACATTGGCAACTTTAACGATTTTAAATCTGACTCCTGGAATATCACCAACAGCATGACCTTTTCTACCAAAGCCTGCAACTAGAACTTCATCATTTTCCTATATTAAATGTTACAATTTGTATAATATTGAAATGAATCATTTAAAATATTCAGAATTTTAAACTCCTCATCAGTTTATAGGTAAAGCGTATATTATAACAATCATCATTATTTATAGGTTATTTTACTTCTATATAGTTCAAACATCCATCTCTAGGAACAAATGCTGTTATCTTTTTACCGTTTTTAATAAGTTGTACTCTAACACATTTCCTAATAGCGGAATTTGGTTGTTTAGCTTCAACGCCACTTTAAAAAAATATTTAGATAATTACATATAAATACTAAATAAATCAGAGCGGAGTATCATCATAAGAATATGACAGGGATAACAAATTTCATCACATAATTATTTAATAAATTCTTACATTTTTTCTAAAACTATTCCTTTCGCATGAGATGCACCTCCAAATGGATTGGCTTTTAATGCTGTACCTAAATGAGCCTTTTTAAAAGATTTGTCATTCCATCTTTGTTTTTTTCTATGATTTTTTAATTTCCTAGCAGTTCTTAAACCTCTTGGCTTACCTATATCATAACTTTAGTAAATTAAATAAAAAAACTTAAATTTACCCATGTTTTAGGAAAGTTGTAATAAGTAATCTAGTTTGGTTATCATAATTATTTTATTTCGAATTTAATTTTCAAATATGTAAATCATGAATTTCAAAACAAAAATACTACAATACAAAGTCATTGTATATAATTAAGATTAAATATTTAAATAAAATTTAAGAATAGTATAATAATTCATAATTGCAAAAAATTCAATGATTAATTTTCTTTATACTTATATATAAAAAATATTTATGGAGAGGGATTAATTAAATTTTTTTAAACTCTAAATACATTATAACCAATGATAAAGCAGATCTAAATAATAATATTTTAAAGTTCTTTTCCTATTTCCAATGTCTATTTAATGAAAGAAGAAAATCCTTTAGACAAAGCTGCGTAGTGTTTTGATGTGACCTCTTGGAATAATAATACTAAATATTCGATTTTTGTTAAAATTAGCTATTTTTTATATTTGTTTATATTATTATATAGTATGTACGTAAACCTATTGAAATGGGGAAAATCTAAAAATGGAGGAATCCGGTCAGTGCCTCAAATACCCCCCCCCCCCCCACCACCAGGCCTATGAACCAAAATATAACCCTGAAAAAATATTTCCTAAAAAGGAAGCAGAAATATTAGTAAAATAAGCCCCCCCCCACCACTCTTTATTACAAATATGAATAATATTATGAAATTTTTTAAATATTTGATGCAACATTTATATGTATTAATTTGTTTTTCATAAAACTCCGAATAATCAACTTATAGAAATTTAAAATTTTGGAAACAGAATTTTAAGTTATATCTTAAATTGTGGGAAAAGACGAAAACATTTCAAAAATGAAGAGAAAAATGATTATTAAATTATTTAGAAAAGGATCTTTCATATTGCTACGCAAATCAGTTTAATTTGTTCATTACTAATATTATTAAATTATAAAGGAAATCATAATTCTTATCTATTTCAAAGTTAAGAAGTATTCCCCTCGATCCTTTGTTATTGATGTATTGCTTCAAAACAGCGGTAGGGTATGGGGGGGGGGGGGGGCTACGTTATTTTAAAATATATCATTAAAAAATCAGTTTTTTATTACAAATATTAAAAAATTATTGATTTATACTATATAAAAAAAACAATCTAAGAAATGTAATACCACCGATTTTAAATCAAATTGAAATATATATAAATATACTTCGTTTTATTTGGTTGTTATTTTGCTCTCGTTTTCAAATCTATCTATTATAGAGACTAAATCCTGACTAATTATATATTGGTCTATTTTTAATCTAATTCTATTCTTGAACATTTTGGATTTTTTTTAATAGTATATTTTTAAATAAAAGTGGGATTTCTGAACAGAACAATGACATATAAAATATTTACCCTGATAGAGTAAGATATTCACGATTTGCCTTTAATTTTTGTAAAGGAGGATAAAATAAAATGAACACTATTCGTATATCAAAGAAAGAAATGATTAAAGAATTTATATTTAATAAACATTTATCTGATTATTTAACAGATAACACTTTAATACAGTTTGAAGTTTTTCACGCCAGTGGGTATAATTTAAAATAAGGTTTGTTACAACTTGTTTATTTTCGAAACTAGTGATTATTTATTATTCCTGGCCTAAATGAGGCTTGAAAGAGTTTCATTAGAATTATTTTGAGGTTATCATTATAAGATTTTTTTAAAAAAATATCATGAGATTATTTAGGCATAATGGGTTGGTAAATATAGCAGACTTTAGGGTGGTTAAGTTTTGGGAGAAGGTTTGCACCCAATAAATTCCTAAAAAAGAATTAACTAACTAAAAAATTATTAGAAAAAATAAGGTATATATCTATATTATAATTTTCCGATGTCCTTACTATGTCATCGTGACGTCATGTCATCGCTCGTCATGTCATCGCTACGTCATGTCATCGCTACGTCATGTCATCGCACGTCATGTCATCGCTAGTCATGTTTAGGTACGTATTTATTTTTATTTTTTTTATTTGTTGATTTTATTTATATATTTTATAAAAACAGTTGAATGGTGAAGTGTTTTATTAAATAAGTAAAATAAGTAAAGTAAGTAAAAGTATCTTTTATACAAAATATTACGTATATATATATAATGAATTCAATCCTTCAGGTTATGTAATTTACAAACGAAAAGTTAATATTATATTCAATTTAAATTCAATTTACAATTACATTTATATTACAGTTCTCCCCACTATAAATTGAATTCATCGTGATAACGTAGTGGGGGTTTCGAAACTCTTTTTTCAAGAGTTGTATTCTCATGTTCTGCCTTTTCCACTTCTTCGGTCAACGTAACGGGTATTTCCTTCTCTTTGTATGTGCATCCCTCAATTGATCTGCATGCTTGTTTTTAACAATCCCCTCTGATTCCACATCGTACAATATTGCGCTTTTTCGTTGTAACACTTTTCCTTCATGCCACCCTGCTGTCCTTTCGTTTGCTATCCAAACTTTTTGCTGCTCTTCAAACTCCCGAGGTTCAACACTTCTATCTTTGTAGTACTTTTGTTTCCATAGAGCGTTTTCCGTCCTTTCTCTCGTTGATAATTTCCACTGATCTAATGTCGTCCTAAGCGACCTTCCAAACATCATCTCGGCAGGGGATTTACCAGTAGTTGCATTAGGAGTATTACGGTGAGTAATTAAAACATTCGCTAAATTTAACTGGTCCGGAGTTCCACATCTACTTCCAGCATAGAAACGCGTCATTATCGTCCGTATATATCGTTCAGCCAAACCATTCGATTTGGGGCTATAAGGGGCCGATCTAAAATGTTTTATTTGTTTTTAAAAAGAAACGTTTTGAATTCAGATCCAGTAAACTGAGTACCGTTATCTGAGACAATGTAGCGAGGTAACCCAAATCTAGCGAAATAATTACGCAGATTATTTATTACACTCGCCGAATTAATATGTGTTAAAATTGCAACTTCAACCCATTTGGTAAAAGCGTCTACGCAAATTAACCAATATTTTCCAGATACGGGGCCTGTCAAATCAATGTGTAATCGTTCCCAAGGTCGGGTAGGAATGTTCTAATTGTATAATGGCACTTCTTTAGCTCCCGGCTTTCCTTCTTGACAACTCTTACAACATTTAACAAAGTCTTCAACATCAGTATCGAGATTTGTCCAAAAAACGTAATATCTACACAATGATTTCATCCCCACTATCCCAGGATGTCCTCGATGAATCACATATAAAACCTCCTTTTTTAAAATATCTGGAATAATAATTCTATCATTATAAAATAATAATCCTTCTTCGAACGAAATATTATCTTTAATCGAAATATATTTTTTTACAATCTCCGAATAATTATTTATATTATCAATATACCAATGATTTTTTATTAATTTAATAATCTCTTTTAGGTTTATATCATTGCTCGTTTCACTTACGACTTTACTGCGAGTGAAAGATAAATCTTCTATTAAATTAATTTTTAATCCTCTGATTTCTTCTTCGAATTTTTTTGTAACATCATTGGTTTTTGCTTTCTCTACCCCCAAACGGGACAGAGCATCGGCACATTTGTTATGATTACCTGGTCTATATATTATCTCATAATAATAATTTAATAGCTTAGTCGCCCACCGTATTAAACGGTTATTTGTTATTTTGTTAAGATCTCTTTTATCACCTAAAATATATTGTAATGGTTTATGATCAGTAACCAATATAAAATGTCTTCCAAAAATATACTGATGAAACTTCTCGATAGCGAACATGATCGCCGAAGCCTCCCGATCAATTGTGGCATAATTCTTTTCAGCCGCCGAAAGTGTCCTCGATGCGTAAGCAATCGGTTTCTCCTGGCCAGTAAGAAATCGGTGTGCAATAACAGCTCCTAGACCATCTTCGGAAGCGTCACAAGAAATCACGACAGGGATATCGGCTAAATAAGGAATTATTGTATCTTCTTTTGACAATATATTATTAACTTTAGTAAATATTTCATTTTCTTTAGCTGACTAAAACCAACCAACATTTTTACTCGTTAGTCAGTGTAAAGGCGCACAAATAGAATGCAAATTTTTAATAAATGCCTCATGATAATTCACCATTCCAAGAAATGAACGTAGTTCTTTAACATTGGAAGGTGTTTTAAAATTTTTTATAGCGCTAATCTTATCTTCTGTAGGGTGAATTCCGAAACTGTCAATAACATGACCTAAATAAGTGACTGACTTTTCTCCGATTTTAATTTTATCGGTCGTCGTGGTCAGTCCAGCCTTCTCAAATCTTCTTAATACTTCTTCCAAATTAACTATATTATCGGAATTATTCTCACCTGCAATAATTATGTCGTCTAAACATACACTAACCATAGGAATTCCCTTTAATAGGTTTTTCATAAAGCGTTGGATATTATCGGAGCGCTAGTCAAACCAAATGGAATTCTTTGGTATCGGTAATAACCGACATGTGTCGAAATTACTAAAAGGTCCCTACATTCTGGACTAACTCCGAATTGTAAAAATGCATCTCTTAAATCTATTGTTGAAAATATTTTACCACCCGCGATTTTATTTGTTAGGTCGACGAAAGTTGGTAGTAAATCGTTATCGATCGCTAGATATTTGTTGATTGTTAAACGAAAATCTCCGCATATCCGTACGGCACCGGATTTCTTTAAGATATTAACCGTTGGCGTAGCCCAAGTGATTGGAGTTATTGTTGGATCCACCTTCTCGATAACGCCTTCGTCTAAAAGTCTGTCCAACTCAGCTTCAATGGTTCGACGCAACGGAAAAGGAACTCTCCTTGCTGGTAATGCAATCGGTAACGTGTTCGGTTCTATTCGGATCACTGCCTTTTGAAGTTTGATTTCACCTAATTTTTTTTTAAAAACTTGAGGGAATTTTGAAGCAATCGTATTTAAAGAGGGAACATTCATATTTATTTTATTAATACGAACTTCTTCCGGTAGTTTTATATCAAATTCTCTAATGAAAGGCATCCCAAAAATAAGGGAATTCTCCCCTTTAACTACCCAAATAAGTAAAAATTTCGAAATATTTTTTACTTTGACTTCTACGGTACATTTA